GTGTCGGGATTTAAAGTCCTGCCTTTTGTTTTTGTTTAATCCTACTTTTAGGCTGGATTTAATTTACGGAAAGTTAACAGGCATATAAAGTTTCCAGAAGTAATAGACTTGGCTCCTTTCTGTACAGTTAAATGCAAGGTAAGTAAAACAAACCCCCCCCCCCCCCCCCCCCCAAAAAAAAAACCAAACACATCTTTGAGAGTCTCCTTTCCTTCTTCCCCCAAGTGATTTTGTTCAGTTAGTTGGGCCAATATGACTGGTCTTTTTCAGAGACTGGCTTGGTGTCAAAACTAAATCCTCTGTTACTCAAAACTGCCCTCTACCCCACCTCAACCTCTGAGACAACCTGTGGCTAAATAGGATTGGCTGCATGTAGGCACAGGTGAGCTTGTGATAAAGCTTTTTTCAAGCATGTTGGTTTTTAGGCATAGTAAGTTGGTCAGTGAAGATTTAGCAACACAAACATCTTCTGAAAGCTGTTCTGATTTTACACAACAATGAGATTGGAAGACACACCAGCTAAGCTGGCATCCTTCTATTTTTACCTTGCTAGTAACGTAAGCAAAACTTTCACTTCTGCAGAATGTGGCTGAAGGAAATTCAAGAGTACTGTACTCTCTCTATGGGGTTGTTGAACATAGTGGCACTATGCGATCTGGCCACTACACTGCCTATGCCAAGATGAGAGCTATGAACAACCATCTTTCTGATCTTGTCCTTCATGGAGAAGTTCCCCAAGGTAGGCATAAGTAGTCTAGCTTTAAATAGATTCCTGTAGGACAATAATGGATTGTAATAATGTATCTGTCTTTCTCTTAAAACTCTGTGTTCCACAGCTTCAGAAACTGAATCTGCAAAAGGACAGTGGTTTCATATCAGCGACACCCATGTGCAAGCCGTGTCTACATCTAAAGTGCTGAGTTCACAAGCGTATCTCTTGTTTTATGAGCGACTGCTTTAACTAATATGAGAAAAGCCACCTGACCGAACACTTCATGGATTTTAAACTGATTTAAAATAAAGTGATACATTGAAGAGAACTGCTCTCAGTCCTAGTCTATTAGACTTGAAGCTACTGTAAACAATTTCAGAAATCCCAACATTACCTAGAAGCACTAACTGATGACATGACTGAATGATACTTCTCCAATAGCTGCACTGGTTTTTAAATAAAACCACTTTGTTCCTAAATTACAGCTTCAGATCTGGAATCGTTTGTTTTCAGTAATGGCTACTCTGCTGGCAGTGAACAAATGTATGCTTTTGAACTCCTCCTAGTTTCTTGACTAAATTATGCCAGTGGTGTTTGATAAACAAAGCAACTTTTCTGGATTGAAATGCTGACACACAGGAAAAAGCATGGGATTTGCCTATCCATATTCTCCTACTTAAACTCCAGAATTATCTTTAAAAATTATGTTTAGATTTTTGTATTTACTTTGAGGTATACTCCCCAGTTTATACAATATTGATTTCTCACCTTCTGCTGGTAGGTAGTATTTCATAAATAATTGGTCCAGAGGTGTTTTTGTTGAAATTTTTAGCTAGCATTTCTATTATTTAAAATAATCCATTCTCTCAAGAGGCTATCAAACTTGTCATCTTCACTTCTGATTTAATTTTCATCCAGTCTGAAAAACATCAGAGCTATCACCTTACCATTCTAAAACGGTTCGCAATACTAGCACTCAGATCCTGACACTGCAGCTGCTTGCAGACGTTAAAAAAAAAAAAAAACCCCAAACAAACTAAATAAAACCAAAAAAACGCATGCTTTGCTGGATACAGTGCATTACTTGACTGGGCTCCGTAGCATCTATAAATCAGACACTTCAGCGGGGCTTTTTGATGTTTTTAGCTAAAGCTGATTCAATCAAGGATTAGGTGAGTACCAGAAAAGCCCCACTAAAGCACCCAATCTATACAAATGTTAGGTGAGCCAGGTCTAACTAACGCACTTGTTCTTCCAGGCATGTACTGGATGTGGTGTGTCGAATTTAAAGTAAAGCACCATCATTTTTTTTACGAGTCTCCAAGCACCTTAAGTGAACATTGGCAAAGGCCCTTCTTAGTAGGCACTATATAAACGTACAATAAACTAATCTTAACACTGACAGAAGCTGAGATAGTAATTGTAGGAAGCCACAACTATTGTGTCTAAGTTTGCATCAAAAATATATATAAGTAATTCCAAAGACAATGTCCTAGCTATTTGACTGCAGGACTTCAAGTGACTTACTGGCTACAGAGGTTTGGCCTAAATCTGGCATGCTTCCTGACTTGTAGTGGGGATCTGAGCCATCTCTCTAACCTGGATGCTGTACGTTGTTAACCCCTGCTATAATGTGCGCACACAGTAACTTTAAATAATCTCAGTTTCAAAATCTGTATCATAAGTCCCGTTGCCCTCAAAATCTCTAGAAATCACTGCTCACTTAGTTTCTCCCTCTCCAGTACCTCTGTAAGTTTAGGGGACAGACATCATTTTAAGCAGTATTTAAAAGGAGAGGGAGGGACTGGCTGTATGCATCAGCTATTTAACAGCTAAAACTTAAATCTTTTCATACATAAGAAAGAAGCAAGCTAAGCCACTGTAATTTAAACCTGTTTTGTTCACATTTAAAATTATATTGGTATAGTTCTGTAATGTATATACTACTGTACTAATACAATAATATTATAGTACTGTTTATACTACTATGTAGTCTATACCAGCAGTTCTCAAACTTTTGCACTGTACGTCCCAGTTAAAAAAAAGTCCTGGTCCCACCAGTTGAAGAGCCGGGTCCCCACTGGTTGAGAGAACCTGGTCTATATTACTGCCAGGGTGGATAAAAATCAATTGAAATTTAAAAAAATTAAAAAGCAGATTTTTTTTTTTTATTTAATCTTGATTTTTTTAAAGATGTTTTTTAAAAAGAAATCTATATAAAGATAGCTTTAATTTAAGCTATGGTAAAGCTCAAAGATATAATGGAATAGAGATCATAACTTCTAATTATATACTATTTGGAGACAATATATTCAAGTAACCTTTCTAGAAAAGTTTTATAAATAGGTCACAACAGGCTATGGACTATATTAGGGGCCCAATTTTACAAGGTTCTCAGAGGCTCCTCTCTATAGATTACAAAAGATTAAAGAAAACCACTCTACCCAATGGTAGAACCTGTTTACCATTGCTGAGTCTATGAAGTGCTCTGTCTAGAAGATCCCATTAAGGATTTCTGTGATGCTTAGTATCAGTTCTCAAACTCTGGATTTCCATCTCCAGAGATAATATCCTTGTTAACAGCAGTATATGGCAATGAGATAACAGACCTGTTTACCCCACTCATCAAACCCTCGTTTCGCTGCAATTTTGTGTACAGAGTCAAGCTCTTACCTTTCTTGAAACTACTTTCAGAGAAGTTAAATTAATAAAGAATATCAAACAAGAATGCACTTTTTGCAGAAAACAACACTTAAATTGAGGATTCCTGACTAGTGTTTTAAATCAAATCCACCCTAACAACTATAACATTGTGTCATCTGACCATGCCCTACTTCCACAAATAAGATGTTCTGCATTTAATTTAACATGAAATGAAATATGTATGAGTTAAACACCATATGATTTAAATACAACTTTAAATTTAATCCACATGAAATTGGGTAAGAACTAGGGATAGCACCAGTTTTTTTTAAGACAGAAGTCAACTATTTTAGGCCTCCTAACTTTTTAATAGCCCTTGATAAGGAGAGAAAGGAATGCTTTGTATTCAAAGCTTTTTGAGGTTTTTTTTACATCTGAGTCCTTATTTAGCTAGGACTTGCATTAACAGCTCTGCATGTTTCTTCCTTCTTTTAGATGGCTTGCTTGCTCTGTACCTCAGACCTCTCTTGGTAAATTCTAGCCACATCTTTTAAAAGATTTAACTATCATAGATATTTTTAAGATAGAAGCTAATGGCTGTACAAAATGCATCTCAAGTGAAAAGCTACCACTATGAATAGCTAGGCAGCTCTGCTGTATATTATTTTTAGGATTCCAAAGAAGTGCTTAAAAACTCTCTCTCAATATTTGCAGTTTTAACACAGGAGGAAACTTTGATTAACCTAAAACAATGAAAAAAAAGGTTGGTGCAAGGTGAAAAATATTGCCCTGGTTCCCCCTGCCTTGTGGAGCAGAGCACAGCCCAACAGCAGACTAGGACTAGCTTCTTGGAGCACAGCCCAGCCCATGCAGATCCAGGGGCAGACGCTCACACTCCCATGCCCTCCTGGACCAGCAGCAAGAGCCCACAGAGGGGCCACCGGAAAAGTAGCTCCCAGACCAGCAGCACAGTGTCAGGAGTCCCCCTCCCCCAGTCCTGCGCCTCCCTACTCCCTCTGGGCAGCTTAGTCCCAGCCCCTCCCTTTCTGTGGGGGCATTGGTCTGCCACCCTGCCCCCCATGCTCCTTCCTTCTCCCCTCCGCCCACCACAGACTTACCAGCTGGAGGCAGCTGTGTCCAGCATCCTCAAGGATTTTTGCCTGTATAGTCTATGGCCGAATCTCTCCAAATGATTTGGAGGCTTCTGATTTGATTCGGACCTTTTAATGAGTCTCCAGATTCAATTCAGATTCAGCTGCCAAATTGGGCTGAATTTCCTCCGAACTGAATCAACTACCAAAGCTTCGCACAGCCCTAATGTCCAGCACTTTACTGATTCCACTCCCCTCTCCTGAATTCAAAATTAAAATCACAGATGCCACTTAGTTTTTTTTTACATTAGGAACATAGGAGTTATGTTAGTTATTCAAGAGGCAAGGCTTTTTTTTGAGTGGTATATCTTTTACTGAACCAACTGCATGCTTGGGATAAAGTTAGACAAGCATTTGAATGCAAAGTCCTAATGAGAATGCCTTGCATTTGAAAACATATCTAACTTTATCTAACCATGCAGTTGGTCCAATAAAAGATACCACCCAAAAAAAGCCTTGCCTCTTGCTTAATTCCTGGACCATCAACACAGATACAAAATCCCTCCCACACTACCAGAACATAAAGAAATGCTTTAAATAACTTAAGTCAGATTAACACTTAGAAAGCAAAATCAGTTTATCTTGCAATATGAAGAGAAAACAAGGTTAAAAGATTATTTAATGGAATAAATGGTCTAACAAATTTTATACTGCAAGTGCATTTATTGAAGTGGTAGAGATTCTGCACTTTTTACTAGACAGTCTCATAACTTAATGTGAGGAATAAGACATCAGAACATGCCCCAACTGGAGTACTACAAAACACACACAACCCTATTTTATTTAGGAAGTACAGTTAAACTGTTCAATCATTTTGGTCTTCATCCCAATCTTTCTTTCCTGATGGAGGTTTGGGTCCACCAGCTGGTTTTGCCATGATGATCTTTAAAATAAATAAATAAATAAAATAATACATTACATAACTATTTGGGATTTTTGTGGCCTGCATCATGCACTTAAATCCTCATTCACTAAACTCATGCAGGCTCAATATTTTCACACCCTTACAAACTCATGAATGTGTCTTATTATTTGTATATTAGCCAACAATTCAAAAACTTAAAAACGTCCTCGGTTACATCTTTAATAACTGGCAATGGGGTGGTCAGCAGGTGCCACAAAAGAACCTGTTTAAATCTCAGGTTTGCATGCAACTTATAGCCTTACCCCTAGAAAAAAAAAATTGTCTAGTTTGCAGAATACAAACTAGTGAGTAGGATACATGCAAGATATTTTGAGAAGTGTTTAAACACTTTTTAAAACTAGGAACTGTTTATTCTTAAATCTCTATCTCCAGAAATCAGAATTTCACAGCATGACACAGGCTGCCAGTTTTTTTCCTGCTAGAAGTTAATTTTAAGTAACTGTTTGCTGTAATACAGTAAAAAGCTAGAACTTTGGTCTACTTGTTCTGCTTACCCCACAGTAAAATTCTAGTAATTCAAATTAAGGTACAATTTGTGGAAGACCACAAACAGATTGTTAGACAGTGACACTGCCCATACAAGTGCTCTTGAAAGCAAGCGAGAGATTAGCTTTGTGACTGTAAATGCATTCATGCAAAAAACCCTCTCCAGTAGCAAGTTGCACCGGACCTTACTGCACACTATTCTGCAGTTTCATCTTTCCAGTCATCCTTATCCCAAAGGCCTTGTTTGGGGGCTTTTGGACCACCTGCTGGTTTTGCCATAATAATCTACACAAGTTGCATAAGCAAATATATTATTTATAACATTACTTAAAATTCCATGTCATTTTAATTACAAAGAACCATACTGGAGTTCTCCTTCCGTTTTAAACCATAGGAAGTACTTTTATTAATGAAAAATGGAAGCCATCTTCTATTGAGATAAGATATGTATCTTCTTTAACTCGTAGCAGAATAGAAAACTTCATTGTCACAAGTGAAAAGAGCAAGAAACCACAGGCCAGAGATTAAATCAAACATGATCATCTTACAGAGTATGGTTACATGCTCCACTGTTTCAGGACTTGAATACAAATAATGCATCTTCAGGTTACCATTTTGTTTTTAAGGCCTTGTGTATCTTACAAGAAGATCTCATAGGCATTCTATGCAGCAAGACAACCATTTCAATATTATTGCTCCTAAGGGCAGATTTTCAACCTACCTGATCTACTCTGAGCACAGTTATTGCAGCATTTGTAGCCAGCTTGATAGCCCAGTGCTTTCCAAGGTACGTGTCTAACACACCGGCTTCCAACATATCCTTCACAGCTGCAGCCTCAGCCTGTCACCAGAAAAAAATAATTAAATAAAATAAAATCTCTTCAAAGCTTCTCACCTAGTTTCCCCTTCACTTCAAAGTAGATCTTCCTGCATTTTCCTGAACACCAGTTGTCTAATGGATGCTAGGGGAATAGTGCTTCTTCCTTGATTTTATGTCCTTCTAACAAATAAGATTTCCAACCAACTTAAATAAATAAATAAATGGAATTACCAGAGGTATCTTTCCCCAGAACAGAGCATAGCCTCATTTCACCTACACAAAACTATGCTCACCCTGTTTTTAATGCTGGTTTATCTGCTGTTGAAGAACTACAACTTTCCTATACGCTGTTCCTTATTTATGTGGTAATGTAATTCTTATCCGTTAAGTGTTTAATGAATTGGACACTGTTGCACACCACCAACCACTATAGCAGCACCTTGTATATCAGCTTCCACGCGGCAGCTTCTCCACAGTAAAAGAAATCACACTCAGGCGTCTTCCATAAAAATTAGCACATTTTTCAACCCTTTTGACAACCAGCTAGTGACCACGGGAACAGGATTGAGAGGTCTGGAAGCTCCCAGTTATGAACTGGCATGAAGGCGACAGTTACAAAGTCATCTCACACTTG